TTTTTTTTGTTGTTCGAGGATTTCATTCTTGAATATAAAAATATAAATATAAATAAAGCACTCTTCGTGTTTTCTTTTGAGGCTTTAGTATATTAGTGTTGCGAAAAGAATAGAGATATTCCACTCACGGTTTGTTCGGGTTTACATTGAGTGGATAGTTATTGTGGTAACCCTTCTGGTTACCTCTTCTTCGTCTTTTTCTTTTCAGTACTCCTTTATTGAGAGCATTTGTTATTGAAAATACTATTAAAAACATATTTTTTTTATGAATAATTTTATTTTAAAATTATATATTATTTTAATATAATTTGAATTTTTTTTAAATTGATAATATTTTTTTTATAATTAATTAGAAAATATAAATTATTTTCTAATTAATTATAAATTCAATTATTTAATCCAGTAATTAAGTTTGTTACAGATATGACAAAGGATAAATGAAGAAAAAGGATTAGAAGATAGTGTTTGGTCTTCATTTCGTTTTCATTTGCAATTATTACTAACTCTGTTATTAATTCTGTTTTATTTTTTGTTATAGAAACTCTTCAGCTTTCAACGGAATAGAAGAGAAGAATTTTTTTTTTTTCATCAAGGGATAAATCTTTCATTTTTTAGATAAAATCGTAGAATTATTTAGTTTTCTGATAGGTCGGATTTATAAACATTTAATGTTTGTTGTATTCTTCCTTTTATTAAAACATACTTTTCTCTTTTCTGATTCATAGTTCCATGAAACAGTATTCCTAATTTCCAAGAAAGCATGATTATAAATTGTTTGTGTCTTCCTCATTCTTCCTCATTCAAATATTAAATCCCTTTAATATTTGATTTAGTTTTGTACCTATCATTTTTATATCATAGGTATTTCCTTATTTTATTTTCCTTGCATTTTCTATGATACAACATGTGGTTCATGTTGTACCATAAATTCCTAAAAAATTTAATATCAATATTAATATAGATAGGGTTATGAAAAGAATCTTTTAGATTTTCAATAGGCAAGATTTAATGAAAATGTTTTTAAATTGTTTAAAATATTTTAATAACTTGTTTCATCTCAACAATTGTTCTTTACAAGAACAAAAGATTGCATTATAAAAAAACATTAAGTAAAACTTATTTAGAATGCAGAATGGGTAATCATGTAAATAAATCTAATGTGTAGTTGTAGACAAATAGATAGATAATTAATACATAGGATAAAATAGGGATAGTATTTTATAGAAAGCTTATTTCGCTTATTTTCTTCTCATTTTCCTTTTCCCTTTCAACTATCATTTATTTTTCATTTTCTATTATGAAAATGTAAAATATTGATAGAATATTTCTTAATTTGGATTTTATATTCAAATCTACTCTTCAGCATCGATTTTCTTTGTAACTTTTGTTGCTTATGCACATTTTGCAAACGTACGTCGAAAGGAAAACTTTATTTATTTTTAAACAAATATACATGTTTAAAAATGAATAAATTTTCTTGCAAGAGAAATATCGTGATCAGAATGATACTCTAATTTATATCAAACCAAGATAAAATCATACTTATATGATATATAATCATATCATTGTACAATCAATGTCAATGATAGAATTATATATTTTATAAAAAATAATATGAGTTAATTGGCTCTTCTATATTCTTCCTATATACATATTTTATTAATCACGGATAGA